ATTCAAATAATAATAATAAAAAAAATCAGTTAAAATGACAATCAATCTAATTGAAACAGTTACATGTTATGGACTTGGCCTCAAGGATTCTTAGTTTAGATTTGAAAGCACTTAATGAAATGAATTCAGTCTTTTTCTAGTCGTTTGTTCCAAGCCAAGGGTGCTAAATGGACAAAAGCTCTTTTACCAAATTCAGTTTGGGCAAATGGAACAGAAAGCAACAAGTAACCATGCGGACCAGCATGCTTCACTGCAAGCAGGGAACATATATAAGAAGGTAGCAACCCAAGTATTGCCTTATATATAAAACTGTATAAATGAGAGTTCCTCTGACTTACCAAAGCAGGCCATCCTACCTGAGAGTATAACTCACAGTGGTGAGTCTGAGATTTACGGTTAGTGATGAACCTCAGAGAAGCACAATACACAGTATCAACCATTCGAAGACACTGAGCAGAAGCATTCATATATAGAATATCACCATAATCCAGCACAGGCAAAAATGTTGCAGCAACAAGCCGCTTCTTTGTATTAAAAGAGAAACAACTTACTTTGAAAATAAAATCTCAGTTTTAACTTCAGGTTTTTCACAAGATTCTCTACATGTGGTTTGAAGGTGAGCGCGTCATCAATCAAGATACCCAGATATTTATACGTGTAAACCAACTAGATTTTATTACCTTCAAGAGTGGTTACTGATGGGATTGTCTGGGCCCATATTTAGAAAACAACATGAGCTTTGTTTTGTCTGCATTGAGAACAAGTTTAAGCTGAGTTAATGAGTGCTGGACAGCAAAAAAGGCTTTCTGCAAGGAGTCAATGGCTTGGACAAGAGTTGAACTACAGCTGTAAATAACTGTGTCATCAGCGTAGAAGTGCAAGTTTGCATCTGCACATTTAGACCAAGATTGTTCATGTAAATGATAAATAGAAGGGGGCCTAATACAGAGCCCTGTGGCACTCCGTTGTGCACTGTAACAAATTCAGAACATAGACTGTCGGATTTTATGCACTGAGACCGATTACTGAGG